AATTAATTCGAGTCAAGTTGGAAGAATAAACTTGAGTCAAATTGAAAACGAAGTTAATTTGAGTCAAGTAGGAAAAATAAACTTGAGTCAAATTGGCAAACGAAATTCATTTGAGTCAAGTTGGAAAAATAAACTTGAGTCAAATTGTCAAACAAAATTAATTTGAGTCAAGTTGGAAAAATAAAATTGATTCAAATTGAAAAACGAAATTAATTCGAGTCAAGTTGAAAAATGAGAGAATCAACTTGAATCAACCCAATCAAGATTTTTCACTTGAAATTTCGTGAGTCATTTTGCACCAGTGCTCTGGGGCGAAAAATTGCTCACTTAAAATCCAGCAATTGCACTTCCATTTGGATGCCATGAAAAACAAAAAGTGTCCATGAAATGAATATATTTTTTTTTATAGGATAAAGCGAGTTGTCTCATGCAGCAATGGGTGAACGGAAACAACCCAATGGTTGGTGAGCATATAATACTTTCGCCCGTGAACGGACGTTCGATACATCGAAAGTTATGCTGTGTCGAGTGGGTAAGTGCCCACTTTCAATTGTAACGGAAGAAATGCCGTCGTGACTTTCCATTTCACGGGGATAAAATGGTGGGGCTCGATTTAATCCGTAAATTAATGTTATTAATCGGTGAATAATGAAACAAAAACGTTTGGCATGCCGTTGGAAGAATCATCTCAAGCGAATTAATCATCCGAGTTTAATCGCAACTTTAATTCCGATAAGTCGACGAAACTGAGAGGAAATGAAATTATTGCGGGAATATTTTTAAAAATTGTGATTATCTGGAAAAGTACTAGATGATTCAAACCGAAAAAATCAACTTGATTCAAACTTAAGACTTGACTTGAATCAAGTTGAAAAATCGAATTAAATCAAGTTGAAAAAATAGACATGAAAGTTGAATTGAATCAGGTAAAATGGACTCTAATCAAGATTATGTGGAAAAGTACTAGGTGATTCAAGTCTAAAAAGTAAACTTGAGTCAAACTTAAGACTTGACTTGAATCAAGTTGAAAAATCCAATTAAATCAAGTTGAAAAAATGGACATTAAAGTTGAATGATAAGTTGAATTGAATCAAGTAGGAAAATAGACTCGAATCAAGTGGGTACTTAAACTTGAATCAAACCAAAGAATCAACTTGACTCACGACTCATGCATTGCCTCAAGTGCCAGCTGGTGGTGCTGAACAGTACTTTTTGTGAGGGACACAAAGAGTGCGTGAAAAAGGCCAATACGGAACTAAAAATTTCGTCGACATTTCTTTTATTTTCACGTTATTTTTCTTTCTCCCGCAAAGTTGATGTTCCCGATGCCCGAGGCCTTGGGGAAATCCTCGTGCGTCCTCGGGCTATTTTAAAATATCACGTCCCAATGACTGGTCTCCCTCAGTTTCCTTGGCATCAGAACCCGAAACCAAGTTCGCACGCTTTGTGATTATTTGGGGAGTGGATTGAGCAATATTTTATTCATTCATATTTCAAACGAGGTAAATGCTCCTACCGAAGGTTAAAAAATTTTTTAGTAAGAATTGGTGAGAGATTTCTCAATAAAAATTTTGGATTGATGATGACGTTTCAATTTTTTGGGGATTATTGAAACTCGTCAATTGGCTGTTCACACTGACCTTCTCTTCCGATTCAATCCAAAAACTCTCACTGTTATGTCAAAATAATCGAGCGATTTCATTCGATATTCTCCATTGCCCAACGTTTTTTTAACTCTTCCGCTAGCGTTTCGACTTTCGCTTTCGAAAAAGGCTCGTCATGTTTGTACACTCCTCTCTCTTGTTCGTCACTTTCTTTTACCGCGACCTGACAGTGAAATAATAATGACGAAAAAGGAGAAACGAAAATGATGTCACTGGATCGATTTGAGGCCGGGTATAATCAATGTGATCCAATCTTTCATGTGTTTAGAATAGTCATGAGATGCCGGGATAATTATCGATTTGAATCACACAGAGGTTGAAATTTCACTAAAATTACCATGAAAATGGCATAAAAATTGGTGTCAAGCGAAAGTATTAAAAATTTATTCCATTGAAGCAAAAATAGACGAGGTGAGAGCACCGCCATTTGCAAAAGCCTTTGGCGGCAGAGGGAGTGAGTATCAAATCAAGATGACGACAGGCGGATCTGCCACCTCGCATTTTTAAACATTTTTAAAAATAATCTCTCCACGTCGAATTCCTCTCAAAAAATTCCGTTCTATTCCTGCGGAGTGAACAATTCTTTAGAGTCAACAACGAAAAATTTCCACAACTTCTGAGCTGAAAATTGATTAAGCAAAATTTTCATCGGATTTCTGTCTTCCACATTAAATCGGTTCTCAAGATAAATCGATGATTATAAAAAATGTTGAATTGGACTTATCTCGCTCAACCACTTGACTACTGAAATGTTACATCAGTCTTTCTTAATTTATCGTTTTTTAGGTAAATGAGTGATGTTTTGTAATCAAGTGGAGTGAGTTCAACGTTTAATCCAGAAACAAGCGCTGGGAGGAGAGGAGGGGCATGGGTTTCAATCTAATCGCGGGAAAACGCCACTCTTTTTTTTTATCACATTTTATCGCAGCCTAGACTTGCGCGATGCGGTCTTGTTTGTCGGACTGTAACTCAACATTAACACATGTGTAGTTGTAATCTTTCGTGTGTGTTGCACCGTGGGGTTAACAACATCTATTTTTTCAGCCCCATTTCCGCAGTCCCACGCATTTGCCGAGTCTGTATTTCTTGCGTTTTTTGTTTGTTTGAGGAAATCAGGTTGTTTGGGTGGAAATTTATAAATTCTCGGAGTGATGGATGATGAAAGAAGACATTAAGACAAGTTCCTCAATTATGCACCCGGTAATTCTTTCTACTTGCACAGAGAGAAAATCAGAGTATTAAAAAATTTAAGTTGACTATCTCATTTCCACTAACGAACGGTCCCTCAACTAAAAAAATTATTCCGGTTAATAAAATCTACTTCTTATAAATAAATTCATGTGACACAAGTGCATCTATATAAATAAATAAATAGTTCGGCAATTAGTCGAATATTATGTGAGATTCACAAAAATGTAAGAAACTTTTGCAAAAGCTACAGTTGTCGGTTTTCTGTTTGAGAAAGGAAAATAAATCATTGGGGGAAGAGGGAGATAGAGGCAAGAGTAAAAAAAAAACTTTCTAAGTCATCCACTGGGAGTTTCATTGGATCACCAACTTTCACGCCAACTCCTGAGTCCGGAAACACACCGGAAGTCATCTAAAACGTGTTTTCACGCAAGATTTTGTGGATGTCATCGAAATCCATTACGTATTATTTTTAATACCAGAATTTTGTTAAAATTCATTCTAAAAGAATTTTCGAGAATTCTCCCATTTATTTTCAGTCAGATGATTTTTTTTCGATTCTCTTTTCCGATACGATATTGACGTCTTTTTCAAAAATGAAAAACCACTGGATATTAAATCAACAAAAGATATTTCAAATAGACCTGGCATTCATCTCTCGTAAAAACCTTCGAAAAAAGCAAACGAAACTCCAACTGTTGTGTAAATCCCACCTTATCTTCCCTCAGCGTGAGTATATCGCAATGGCTTCGGTGTTTCATAACACTACAATCAAATCGTTTTTTTTTTTTTTTCATCATCGTTGAATATTAAAACGGCGGTTGTTTTTTCCAGTTCTTCCACGCGGATGCATTCGTGCCTAGGCCAAGTGCTTCGTACCAATCATTAATGACACTTTCACAGAAGGAATTTCAATTAATCCAGATATTATTATTTCGATCCATTAGTCCTATGAGTGGCTCAATCAATCCTACGTCACAATTTTTTATCTGGAAAAATTCTCATCGTTGAAATTCCAATTTTTTATCCGACAATTTTCACGAATTTTTTTTATTTAAAAAATTGTCCATCCCAGTTACTTGATGCTTTGAGTCTCCAATGCCTTCCTCTTTTATATATAAATAGGAAATAAGAAGTATCCTATATTTTTTCTTTTATATAATTTTTTTATCAACGGTAAATTGCCGCGAAAAGCGAAATTGCCAGGCGGCGGTTTTTTTCAAAATGTTTTTTTGATTTTTTACAGTTACAGTTAATCGAGTGAAGTCAATCACGCGAAGAATAGATACTTTTCGAACCACATAGTTGATATTTCATTCAGATCTTATTATAATTTACCCTACTATAGGAAAATTATTAAAAAATTTTGGAAAGGCCTTTTAATTCTGTGAATGCGGTATTTTTTCTTTTGGTATTATTGTTCTATCGAGAGATATTCCGCATTGAAAATTGTTAACAATTTCCATAAAAATTGAAAACGTTCTTGCGATGTTTAGCACTGGATGTTCGATTCTCCATTTTTTTAGTAATAAGAGTTTTAAAAAAATCCCGCGCCGCAGAATTTACACCCGAACTCCATCTTGTGATGTTTCTCTACGTCGATAATAACGAAAATAAAAAACCAAGCGTAATTACTCTGGTAATGAAACCCGTCAATTCAAGTGGTAAACTAGAACAAGTGAAACATCAAATTTTGGTTATCCTAAATTCAATTCCACTTTGCTGTCAAATCAATTTTAAATTCGTATTAATTTTATTGAACTCCCACATATCGATTCAAGTTGATTACATCTTTAACAATTACCGCAATAATTTCCAGTTGTTACAGGAAATTCAGCACCAAAAATAAACAATTATTCAAACCGCACAACGGACGCCATCTTGTGCATGTCCCATCCAATAAAAACGCGGGATTTCACAGAACAAATATTATTTATTGCGCGAAGATAATTCTCCTCAAACTAATTGAGGTTATAGTAAAAACGAATGGAATAATTAATGAATCATTGTCAAGGATTTGTTGTCACTCGGACGTTGCAAAAGTGAAAAAAAAAATGGAACCGCCGAAGAAGAGGGCAAAAAATCCGGGTTTACTGGAGAAGTTCATCGAGAATCGCAAAAAGGTACCGAAAATTAATGACACCTAACTCTGGTCAATTATTATAATTCCATCAATGGGGAAAATTTATCTCTGAATCTGACAGGCATGCCAAATTTTTGTAAAGACGTAGGTAATTTGTTGTCAGCAATTTATAAATAAAAAATTAATTAATCCTCTGATTTTAGGCTGCCGCTTCAATAATGGAATTTTCACTGAATAAAAAACGAATCAGAGTTCTGTCAAATGCTAAGGAAGTGGCGAAGGACTCAAAGGGGATTTTATATTGGATGTTCAGGGACCCTAGAGTCCAAGGTAAAAATACGGTGGTGATTCTTAAATATCATGTTAGTTTATATAAATATATTTATTTAATTATGATGGAATTTATTTACTGAATTAGATAACTGGGCTTTTCTCTATGCCCAAAAATTGGCATTGAAGAATCGTCTGCCTCTGCACGTCTGCTACTGCATTGTACCGAAATTCCTGGACGCAACGTTACGTCATTACAAATTTTTGGTGGAGTCCCTGGAGGAGGTCTCCACGGATTGCAGGGACTTGAACGTCAATTTCCATCTGCTTCTTGGAGAGCCCAACTCAGTGGTCTTGGATTTTGTTAAAAAGTACACGATGGGAGCACTTGTAATCGATTTTTTCCCGCTGAGACTCCCACGATTCTGGGTCAAAGATATCCAGGAGAAATTACCAGAAGACATTCCACTCTGTCAGGTAAAAATATAAAGGAATATTTCGGGTAATTATCTCATTATCATTATGGTAATAATGGAATTTCCAAAGGTCGATGCTCACAATATTGTCCCCTGCTGGCAGACATCCGATAAATTGGAGTACGCAGCTCGTACAATCAGGCCAAAGATAAACTCAAAATTACCAGAGTATCTGACGGAATTTCCCCCAGTGATAAGGCACCCTTACGACAGTGCCTTCAAATTTCCAGGGATTGATTGGAAAAATTGTCTGAATGGAGTTTTGATTGACAAGACAGTGGACAGAGTGGAGTGGTGCAAGCCAGGATATCGAGGAGCTGTTGAGCAGCTGGAGATGTTTGTCACCGAGCGCCTGAAGAACTACAACGAGAAGAGGAATGATCCAGTGGAGGATGCCACCAGTGGCCTCTCCCCTTGGTTCCACTTCGGTCAGATTTCTGTTGCCAGAGTAATCCTCGAGGTTGAGGAGCACAAGAAGAGCTGCCAGGCATCAGTCAATTCGTTTATGGAGGAGGCAATCGTCAGGAGGGAATTGAGCGATAATTTCTGTTATTACAATGAGAATTACGATAAGATCGAGGGCAGTAATGCGTGGGCTATACAAACCCTGGACGCTCACAGGAAAGATAAAAGAGAGTGGATTTACACACTAGAAGAATTCGAGACTTCCCAGACCCACGAGGACCTCTGGAATGCAGCCCAGAATCAGTTGGTGAGAGAGGGAAAAATTCATGGATTCATGAGGATGTACTGGGCTAAAAAAATTCTCGAGTGGAGCCGAACACCAGAGGATGCCCTAGCCTGGTCAATCTATCTCAATGACAGGTACAGCATGGATGGAAGAGATCCCAATGGTTATGTTGGATGTATGTGGTCAATCTGTGGAATTCACGATCAAGGATGGAAAGAGCGTGAGATATTTGGAAAAATTCGTTACATGAACTACAAAGGATGTGAAAGAAAATTCGATGTGAAAGCGTACGTTAAAAAATTCGACGGGAAAATAGTGAACAAAGAGAAGAGTAAGAAAATCGTAAAATCGACGAAGAAATCCAGGAAATAGGTATATCTTTCAAATTAATCTGAAATTTGTTTGTGTAAACGCGATGTATTTATTTATTGTTTTTTAATGAATAAGAATACAATTTATTTTTGCAAATTAATCATGTCGTTATTTTTCCTGTGTTGTTATTGTTGTGTTTATTGTTTATTATTAATGGCCTCAGGGTTCTGAGGGAAATGGGGACTGTCTGGGGGGATTCGAGGGATAACTGAGCAGCTCTTAGCCCCAGGGATACACAAGTCTCTTCGTCGAGCTCTCGAAGAACTCCAGAGATTATTCCAGCTGCTAAACAATCTCCACAGCCACTCACACTGTATCTATTCTTTTCAGAGTCATTGATTTTTATTAGTGGAGGGTAGAGTCTACTCTGGACATTCCCAGTTTTTGTTAATAATTTATTAGCTCTTTTGGAGTAGAATCCATCGGACTTTGATCCCTTCCGAGCAATCTGGGGTGAACAATAAAAATTATAAATTGAAGAAATTAAATAATTAGTTATTAGTTATGAATTATTCGGTGATTTAAATTGGAGAAGGGGAAGTTTTTAGGATTTTGGAAAGATATTTATGTGGAATTTTTACCAGAACTCCTTCAGCTCCTATTGTTGCAACAACCACTGGAATGTACTCAGCCAATTTTTCAGCAACTTCAGTGATTAAATTCGTGCACTCATCCGGAGGAATCTCATCGGTTTTAGTAATAGAAAAATACTCGGCCATCGTGAAGAGCTCTTTGACGTTTGGACTGACGAATTGCAGGACTTTTTGCCAATCAGGATGGGAGAATATTTTGCAGGATTTTTTTACGTCCGTTGGTTCGTACCACACTGAAACAAACATCAATAATAAATTATCAATATTTATAAACAACATACATAGTAATTCGTAAAATAATTTTCTAGGCTGAAACGTAATTATCGCGTTGATTAGAAATGGTCTGTCTTATCATTTTATCGAGATCAATTAGAATCGAGAATTGCAAATTAATTTTCAATAATTTCTCGTTTTTTTTTCATCAATTTCCGGATTATGAATTTGAAAAATTGGCGGGAGAACGGCGGAGGTGACGTTTACTACGTGAATCACCTGCCAAACCCCATCTGCTGTGAAAACTCCACAGCCCGATTATTCCTGTAGGAAGTACCACTTGTTCCCTTCACCCACACATTTCTCTCCAAATTCTCATCTTCTGTCACTCCCAGTGTCGAGAAACCCGGAAAATCCCATTGAAAAAATCACCGAATCGACTTATAAATAAATTTGACAGTGCAAAGTGTAAAGACCCATTGCCATAAAAAATGGGGAAAACAAAAACTGGAAAAGCAGCGACTCTATGCACAATCTTAGCGTTTGTTTTCGTGATGATTGCCTTCACCACACCCAACTGGCTGGAGACCGATGGAAAACTGGACAATCCAAAATTCATAAGACTAGGTAAACAAGAATGATAAATACATAAAAAGTCTCATTGACAAAATAAGAATTATTCATCATTCATGGAACTCAAGGACATGCTTTTATGTCGTATTACTCGTATGTACTGTTGTATTTATTCTGAATTTATTCTGAGAGTATTTATCAAAGTGGAATTAAATGCAGAATTAAATACTTAATGATTGTAAATTTTGAAAAACAATTGTCCCCAGGTCTGTGGCAGGTCTGCCTGAAGAACTTCCAGGACCCTCGTCACATGTACGACACAGTTTTTGAGACGTGCTGGTGGGTCTTCGAGGAGGAGTACTACATAATCAGAGATATACTTCTACCAGAGTTCTTCGTGGCAACTCAATTTTTCTTCACCCTGTGCCTGACGCTTCTCCTGATCGGTGGTTTTCTCACAGCTCTCTACACCTGTTGCTCGCGTTCACAGGCGCATTACCAGGAGTTGCTGTGGGCTATTGGAGGAAATCTGACGATATCTGGTGTCAGTGGACTCATTGCCTGCATCATCTTCGGAGCGAGAGGAGATGGCAGGGACTGGATGCCGAATTGGGAGCACAATGATATCTCCTGGTCGTTCGCTATGGCTGTCGTTGGAAGTGTTTTTCTACTCGCTGCTGGGATGCTCTTCCTCGTCGAGGCCAGGAGGCACAAGAAAAGGCTCGAGAGAATGCTCGATGAAGAACCCAAAACCCACACCACAATCTAATTAAAATTCAATCATTAGGGGGTCACTGAGGGAGAACTGAGATTCCAAAAATATTTCCCGTACGAAATCTGTCGGGAAAATGACATTACATTGTCTTCAGAATTTTTATTGAAATTCCTGGAAGACTAAAGAACGAATTCCGTCCATTACTCAAATTGCCTTGAGAATCTCATGGAGATTGTTAATATTTGTAAATAGTTATTAACTTTGGATTATTTTGTGAGGTTTTACAAACCACGTCGATTTTTATTCAATTAACAATCCTTGATTTCCATGTTTACTTTTTATGCAATATTTATATAGGAATGAATAAATCTTTCTAATAAAATTGATAATGCGTATTCGTAATCTCCTGATCTCCATAATTAATTAATTCACCACAGAATATCTCCATTTTTTGTATGAGGACAAATGTATACAAATTTTTTCTACGTGCCTTTGATTAAATTCTAGATTTTCTCGTCAACGGTATCTCTGGAATTTCATTGTGAGTCGCGACACCTTTAGCATGACAATTTTCATTCAACTCGTTATGCACGTAGGAGATTAGGAAATCGCATTGTCGGAGGGGATTATTTCCTTGAAACCGAGATATTGGGATAGTAAAAAAAGAAACAAAACAAGACCACTCAAATACTATTCCACTGTTAATTCTAAAAAACTTGTCATTTTTCCCACGATTTCTGGATAATAACACAAAATTTCAGGTAAAAATATCTCGAAATCCTCAAAGTATTTATAACAATTGCTAATAATTATACATATAGTATTAATTAATTACTTATTATCATTAATAATAATAATTGAACGAATGAATTTATGAGGCGTGGTAGCTATTGAATGGAAAAAGAATGATAAGATAAATAAATTAGCATGTCCTCCAAGTGACCGCATAATGCTGTAGACCCGTGGGAAAAATATTAGTCCCGACAAAAAGTCCAAGTAAACGATGCAGAAATAATAGTAAGACAAGGTGAATTCACCAGGTTGTAACGTACATATTGTAATAGTGTGAGTCACCGAGTGATGACGGAATTACACGAGCCCCAGAGTTGGGGCCCAGCCCACCATTGACTCAGGTTTGATACTCTTGTTTCCCTGGCATTCCCTGGTGTCACAGTTTACCACTGGGTGTGACCAACTCCAGGACAAATAAATAAAAAATTAATCCGGTCTACTAATATTTTTGTCAATTCACCTACAGGAACAATTTCTTTGATTTTTTTTTATTACGAGATTGGATAATTAATCACATTTTTTATAATGAAGAAACGAAGTTTATCTGGTACTGTGGGCATTGGTGTGTTTATGGTTGCACTTGTGTGTGTTGTCGTGGCTTTTGCCACACCGGCGTGGCTTGCTAGTGATTGGAGAATTACAAGTGCACGACTTGATAAATTTGGATTGTGGACACATTGTTTCAAGTCCCTGCCTGATCCACAAGCTGCTGATGCACCCACTAAATTTTTCGTTGGATGCAGATGGGTTTATGATCCTTTTACTGCTGGATGGTCTGATATCCGGGGATTTTTGATACCCCGTGAGTTTTTTTATATTCAGTTGATAATTTTATAAAAATCCAATAAATAGTTTGGGCTTCAATTTGAACTATTTACCATTTTTATGATGGGTTTATGATCCTTTTACTGTTGGATGGTCTGATAGGTGGGGATTTTTGATACCCCGTGAGTTTTTTTATATTCATTAAATTATCAAAATCCAATAAATAGTTTGGGCTTCAATTTGAACTATTTCCCATTTTTATGATGGGTTTATGATCCTTTTACTGTTGCATGGTCTGATAGGCGGGGATTTTTTATATCCCGTGAGTTTTTTTATATTCAATTATTCATTAAATTATCAGAATTCAATAAATAGTTTGGTTTTCAATTTGAACTATTTCCCATTTTTATGATGGGTTTATGATCCTTTTACTGCTGGATGGTCTGATATCCGGGGATTTTTGATACCCCGTGAGTTTTTTTATATTCATTAAATTATCAAAATCCAATAAATAGTTTGGGATTCAATTTGAACTATTTCCCATTTTTATGATGGGTTTATGATCCTTTTACTGCTGGATGGTCTGATAGGCGGGGATTTTTGATATCCCGCGAGTTTTTTTATATTTCATTATTCATTAAATTATCAGAATTCAATAAATAGTTGGTCTTCAATTTGAACTATTTCCCATTTTTATGATGGGTTTATGATCCTTTTACTGCTGGATGGTCTGATAGGCGGGGATTTTTGATATCCCCTGAGTTTTTTTATATTTTTTCATTATTCATTAATTATCAAAATCCAATAAATAGTTTCGTTTTCAATTTGAAGTATTCCCCATTTTTTAAATATACATGAACAAATTGCAGGGGAGAAATTACATTTATGGGTATTGATTAAGGGCCGGATGGAGTATCTCGGAAAGATAATTTACTCCAAAATTGGGATTCCTAATTACTCCCCCAATTAATTGTTTTTTCCGATAATTGTTAGCTAGCGCTCTAGTCGTTGACAACCGCTAGAACGCTAGCTAACAATTATTGAAAAAAAAAACCATTAATTGCCAGAGTAATTAGGAATCCCAATTTTGGAGTAAATGATCTTTTCCAGATAATCCAACCGGTCCTTAATTATTATTTTTGTCATTAATTTTCTCTTTGAGATTTTTTTTTTCGAGTTGATCAACGATTTTTGATGATTTAATTGATTTCGAAAATAATTCAGTCAAATGATTCTTACAGACTTCTTAATTTTTTGTAATTAAAATACTCGATGGTAAATTACCGAAATCCTTTCGTTAATGGAGACTACCTGGAAAAATCGAAAGTCTTCCCCACCGAATGCCCCATAATTTTCGAAATATCTGAAAAAAAAATCTGCCACGGTTTTTAAAATCGCCTCTCCCTTGATTACCTCATTCCGGGAATGAATGAATCACTGTAAGTAATGACAGCTATTATTCTCCCTGTCATCTTAGGTCGAAGAGTTCACTCTTTGTTCCAAAACAAAAGTCAGTGAAAAGAAAATTTCACCACCAATTAGGCCCCGTCGTAGTAAATATGATCGAGGGAATACTGAGACTTCTTTAAAAAATTATAAATAAACAATTGGACAAGAGAAAACGTCTCATGTGACTCCCGAAAAAAAAATGTTTTCCTCTCCATCAGCTGATTGATTCAATAATCAATTCAATGAGTCAATTAATTCAGTAATTAACAGTTTAATTGTTTATTCCAGCATTTATGGTCGTCACCCAATTATTCTTCACGATCTGTTTCCTCCTGATGCTGATTGCACTCGGTCTGGTCATCCTCTTCACCACCTGCTGGGATCCAGAGCACAGGCGATTTGTCCAGCTGATCTACTCCATCGGCTTCATATCACTGGCTGCTGGTGTCAGTGGTTGCATCGCTGTAATCGTCTTCGCGTGTTTAGCTAATGGCAAGGGATGGATGCCAGATCATGACAACAATTACTTCTCCTGGTCGTTTGCACTGGGTGTCGTTGGCAGTGTATTTGCCCTCATTGCTGGGGGCCTCTTCCTCGTCGAGGCAAATATCCAGGAGAAAAAACGCAGATACCTGAGGGAATCGCAGACTCGCTTCCAGCTTGAGTCCAAGTCATAAGGGAATTCGTTATTCTCGTTTTGATTTCAGGGAGAGATCGGTATACCGAAAATTCACGTGTTCGGGACTCGTCCAAATCCGTCCAAATATGTAGATTTTTCTTTCTATTAAGTAATCGCAACGAGAGGGAAATTGTAATTTTCAAAAATTGAGGGTAATTTTAATTCGTAGAGAGTCAAGTGCCTTTTAATCGGGAAATGTACGTTAAGATCACCGAATTTTGGGTTTATCTCGGCAATGATAGGGTTCAGGAGAAAAAGTTATAGAACATTTTTTGTAGGGAATTAAAATTCCCATCAAAAATTTATCTGACATTTTTTTCCACAGTCAACCCATAGCGAGATAATTAATCATTTATGGAAATGAAAAATTCAGTCGTTTTGTCATTTCAGGTCTTATCAGTTCATTCGTTAATTAATAATGCATTAATCGTGCGTTTTAAACACTCAGAGAGTTTTAGATGAGAATATTTTTTATTTAGACGACGTACTCGAAGAAATTACTAAAATTATTAATTTTGTTACTTTGTCCGTCCTTAAGTACAAACTGAAGAAAAAAATAGAGCTTTATCCACTAGAATCGCATTATCAAGTCTCGATTGATAATGGTAACTCACAAGTGAATTGTAATTCACGTTTATTGACTCGAATCTCCTTAAATAGTATTTTCTACTTTATTTCATGTTTTTTTTTTACAATAAGACTCTGTTTACTGATGTAATGTACATATCGAGAAGATATCACTCTCATTTTTACTGAAATAAATTGTTTAACGAAATTAACGTACACAATCATCAATTACTGCCAATTAAAACTGTTAAGTGTGTAATCAAGATTACCAGATCGTAACTACACACCCTAATACCCTGGAAATGAAGAATAAAAAAATTATTGGGTCAACAAACCCAATAATAAAATATCAAAACAAAAAAGAACAATTTATCTAAAAATTTTCAGATTGAAGAAATCTTCACCGTTGAATATCTCCGTATCTATTACACCTACAAAATTTTCGCATGAACTTTTTTTGTAGCTGAAAGCATTCCCTATAAAAAGTTTCCAACAAAGAATCCCCTATCTCCCCCGGCTCCGGAGATATCCTGATAAAACTCCCAAGATTAAATATTACTTTTAGAACTCGCTCGTTGCACCTCCCCATGGATTTCCCTCACACGATAAGACATTTTCCTCTGCTCCTCTGGTCCTCACCCTGGAGGACACCTCCCTCGTCCCCGAGGTCCTCCCCTTGATTTCCCCCAGCTCCCTCCCCAATTTCTACCCTCAAATCATCAGAATCATCTTCAGTAAGAGCAGGAGAGATACTCTCGTATCTTCCCCGGATGTTCTTCACCCTGAACGAGGAATTCACAGTGGTTGAGGCATTCAGGAAGAACCTGGAGTGTTCCTCGTTGAGGGTTGAGACAGCAAAATTCGAAGCGCTATTCCCCATTTGAGTCTGATAGGATGTTCCGCTATTGGTTTCCTCGTCAGATACAATTTCTGAAATAGCAATGATTGGATTTTCCCGAGGGAGAAACTCCAGGGACTGCGAGGAATCCCCTGAGAAATCCTCTGGATCATCTCCAGAGGAAGATTTCGAGTCATCGAAGTCCTGGGGTGCAAATCTCACAGTTTTGGAGCACGTGTCGACGATCTGGGGATTTAAATGAGCCGGAGATACATCTGAGGCCATCGACGGTGAATCTCTCGTCGAAATGTCCTGGGATGTCTCGGCTGTTGAGACTTCTGAGACCTCTGAGGACCTTACCACTCTCCTTGGATACCTTCTCGTTGGTATCCTCGAGGCCACCAGGTCGTGCTCCCTCCTCACAAAATCCTGGCACAGCCTGTTCAGATTTCCCCGGGCTATTTCCTCGTTGGCGACGAGTCTGTTCCACAGTGCTTGACTCGATTTTGCTGGATCTTCTGTTACGAGGTATATATGAGAGAAAGACTTGTAGAAGTCCTGTTGCCGCATTTTCTGAAGAACGTTGACAATGTTCACGTAGGCCATCTCCGCTGGGAGAGAGAAAGTTTTCTATTTAAATCCCAGGGCACATGGCAATTTCTTCATTGCATTCGAATGATTTGCAAATAAATTATTACAAGAATTACTTGGATTATTTGAGGATGGAAATTGCAAGGGTTGAGGGACGGAATTATTGATTATATGGATTTTTTTCTACTGAAATTTGATGGCTCACCTAGACTAGACTGAGTGCTCTTCCTCATCTCCAGGAACTCATCCTCATTACAAAATTCGATGCAATCGAGAATATCCGAGTACGTTGGGATATTAAACCAATCCCGATTGATGATGACATTGATTAGATCATCGATTATTGGGTTTCCAGTGACCTGGAGAGCCTTCGCCATCAGCAAGCGACGACCTGCATTCTTGGAGTTACCTTTAATATCGCACGCCTTGTAGTAGAGATTAATAATTCTTTTCCTCCACCTGTGTAGCTCCAAAAAACTGCTCCTCCTCTCGTCCTCGAAATTCACATCCATCGTCTCCAATTTTTTAATTTGACTGTTGCATTTGTCAATTTCCTGGAGAATTGAATAGAATTGCTCTCGCTGGTGTTCCGTCAGGTCATCATCGCTGTCCTCTGATGATTCTTCGTTTTTCGTTGAGTTTTTTCTTGTTGAATTATTATTTTGCATTTTTAGAGTTTAGAGTTTTTTAATTGTTGAGGAGTTTGGGGAATTCTTTGAAGGGATTACTCTTGGATCTTTGCTATCGGGATTTCGGCTCGAGGTAAACTGTTGTTTTGAGAATAAATTGGGGAGCAATGAGCAATTGATGACAATAACTTTGATATGTTTACATCTACTATAGGTGATATCTCAATACATCTAGAAAATCGGGGATTATTTCTAAGGAAAATTTCATATGAACTTTATTTTGAATTGAATATTTGTCGGAAATTATTTAAATATTAATCATTAGTCATTTTATCTAATCAAAAAAACGATTTATTTATTTAAAATGCAGTCCCGAGAACCAATTAATAATAAAATCAAGTAATTAAATAATAATAATGAATAATATCATGCAATAATTTAATTCATTGTTTTTAAATTACTTAACGAGGAAATAATTATTTCAGAAAAGATTATTATAGAGATTAAAAAAATTTATCGGACGAAATGTTTTTGAATCTGAATGATTTCCCGCGCGTTATTTTAAGGCGCTACCTAGATATAAAATTTCAACAAATGCATTTTGTACAGACCCAAACAAATAAATTTCCTGCATTTGTATTGGATGAGCAAGTGGTGAGTAATCGAGGCAAAGAGGATTGACTAAATAGTCTGGGGCTTGAATGACCCCAGCGGCATCGTAGTATTGCACCCCAAGAGAGAGAGGGCGCCACACACAATGGGGGTGTCTACCCCTATTTTCTGCGTTACGAAATTGATATTCACTGGCATTTAACAATTTTATGGAGTCACTTAAATTTTTACCCCCATGTGACCCTTAACCAAATCCAATTAACCATTAATCAAATTCAATTAACCCTTAACCAAATCCAATTAACCTTTAATCAAGTCCAATTACCCCTTAACCAGATCCAATTAAAAAAAAAAATTAATTTCATTGAATATCAATTTCGTAACGCAGAAAACAACATTCACCCTGTTATACTGAAGTCAGCATAAGTTTTAAGAGTGGGGGACATGGTTACTAGTGGTAACTACGTGGAGTGGGGGTACCCAGAGAAGTAAAAACTTATGCTGACATTAGTATAACTGGTTCCTCTGATATACACGGAGAAAAAATTCCATTGAAAATTAGTAAGAACCTTCCCTAAAAATCAGTGTACTCCATCAATGAGAAATTGAAATGCTGCTGACTCATTTTTTTGAGAAACTGGAGGAAACGCATGAAAAAGTAGTGCATGCCTCTCAAAAATTAGGGTGCCACATACGAATTTTTGAGTGAGGCATACCATTTTGTCCAGTGTCTCCCTCTATTTCCTTGTACACCCCATGTTACATCCCAGTGTTGGTGTAAAGGTACACTAAATTTTGAGAGAATTTTTTCTCAGTGTAATACAGTCAGCATAAGTTTTTACTTCCCTGGGTACCCCCACTCCAGGTAGTTACCACTTGTAACCATTACTCCCACTCCTAAAATCGATGTTAAAAGTTACGCTGACTTCAGTATAGCGGGACTGCGACTGAAACAGTTACCGAGTCGGCTGAAGGGCAGACACCCATTGTGTGTGGTGCCCTCCCTCTTTTGGGGTGCAGTACTACGATGCCGCTGGGGTCACTCCAACCCCCAGGACTGAGCCTCTACTTTAGTCAATCCTCTTTGGATCGAGGCGTGGCAGCACCGAATGAACTAATTGTTTGTCATATTTTCATTCCTGTCGAGGAGGAAATTTCATCAGTGGACTATTTATTGAAAAACAGGAGGAATCCTTCAGGATGGGCTCGGAGAGCAGTCAGGATTACCCCAGGGCCTCCAGTGAGTTTACATATAAGATCATTCATTTTTTTTATGGATAACCTCAATCAATATTTATTGTATATGGCCAAGGATTATTCTTTCATACTTTTGAATAACAAATTATTGATTGACTGATTTTCCGGGATTTTTTAATGGCAATTGATGAATTTTGGTAATGATGGGGTTTCAGAAAATTTCAATTCGGAATTTTATGCTTGAATGGTGGAACCATTGTGGAGCAAATTCACGATTTATTAACAATAATAATTGTATTGGTTTATAAAATATGGATTAATTCATTTTTAATCAGTAGTTAATTTTTTAATTCAGATGCAGTCGTTTTTGGTGGTCTCATCACTTATCTGGGAGGAGTCCTACTCGTCATATCTTTCACAAGGTAATACTTTTTGAAATCGATTGTTTATAATCACAAAATTAAAAAAAAAGCACGAGGCAGTGATAAAATAATTATTTCAGGCAGAGAATTTCGGGGAGAATGTAATTTATCAGTTTAAATGTTTAGGTAAATGTAAATGTTAATCTTGCATTTTGATTTCTCAGCCCGTACTGGATTCAGTCTTATCAAGAGACATTCAGTAATTTCAAACACATGGGACTGTGGGAATACTGTTTCCACGACTTTCGATATCCCTATTATCAATTCGACAAGATGTTCAATGGCTGCCATCACATATTCTCACAAGAATTTCACGTGATTCGCGAATGGCTACTGCCTCCCTGGCTAATGGTCGTCCAGACTTTTGTGACAATAAGCCTTTTGCTGTCCTTCCTGGCCCAGGGTATTCTCGCCCTGATTATTGTCAGGTGGCCTTTGAGGTGCATCCTGAGGAACGAATGGATGCTCTCTGGAATTGCTTTTGTCTGTGACGCTGCCACAGGTAAACTAAACATTTTCAATTACGGAAAATCTCCCTCCCTCCTAGAGAGTGGGAGAAATTAACCGCTTGAATTAACCACAAGAATTTCAATTATGCAATTATTCTCCGGTGTCATAATTTATTGTTATTATGAGCGATTAGAATAAATTGATAAGATCTTTTGAAATAATTATTTTTCAGCTTTATTGCTGTTCTTGGCTGTTTCGATCTTCGGTGGTCAATGCTGGCGTCGAGATTGGCTCATGTACCCAAATTGGAATTATCTCTCGTGGTCATATGCATTTGCAGTAATAGCTTGCATGTTTCACGGAGTGGCGGCATTTTTTCTATATCTGGACGCACGCGCGGGCTATAAAAATCGGGCGCAATCACGAAATCTCGTTGTACAAATGTACCCGACATCCCACAGCCGCCAGAGCTTTGCCAGTAGTCGTCAGGGCTACATATAAATCGCATCAGATAATGCGAAAATTGTACAATTCAATTATCCAATTCCGTCCAAATCTCATCTACAAAGTATTTCTAGAGTGTTTCCATTGAGATTTTTTAGCCATCCAATCGACAGAGGTTGCACCTCATTTAGATTTAATGTCGAAGCATCAGTTCTACTTTTGCACCCTTTTTAAAATATTTTTCACGTAATGTTATTGATTTAGGGAAATTTTGTATTTTTTAGGAAATTTCAATTATAGAAATTCCTCTCTACGATCGATCTGAATAATTATATATTTTTTAGTAAACATCAAAAATATTCTTTGTAAAAAATAGTTCAAATTCTTTGATCATTTCTGTTGAGAATTTCGAGATAATTCGAGGGACTCGAGGTAAAATAAGTTTTGACTAATGAGGTAATTAATGACGAGCATGACAGTATGTCGAAGAATAGAAACTTCAAATGGCACCCAAAGGCGCCAATATCGATCGAATTGTATTATAATTATCCAAACTTCGAGTCTGTCGTTTTAACAGTTTCATTAAACCCCATTGATCTCAGAGACTAGCGATTTTAGGAGAAAATGGGAGAAGACATTTTCTGTCGGGAATTTAATCAGCCACAAAAAAGTTCCTCGACGTTTTCACCTAAGATCGATAGTCATCGAGATAAATCGATAATTAACAGTCGCTTCACTTGGCAAGTGGAATTTCCACTTCATTCTGAGATATATTCAGGGATATATTCTCAAAAAAAAATTTAATCCATAAACTGATGCTTCACCCTCGCTTAGTGATGCAATTACCACTATTTTTATAAATAATCCTATCAACTCGGATAATCCGTACACTAAGTAACACACGAATATATCCATAGAAAACTCAAATCGATTTTCCTCATTCCTCCCACCTCTCCCTCCCCCCAAAAATAGCCAACCGTCATGGATTCATGCAGTACTGGTAAAGTTCCAGTATAAACACACCTCTAAAAATAACGAAAATATGATAAAGAGAAAAAAATTGTCTGGCAAAAATAGCGTTGAAAAGTTCTTTCTCTAGTTTCAACATTTCCATTTCCTTTTCCCTCAAGACTTTTTCACTTGAAAGTGGATAGAGTCAGGAAAGGTCAGACACACGACCATTCGCAATTGTTCTAATGATGTTTCATACAGGATTTAATCACTCAAAGAGTAATTTATTGTTAATAAATTTTTTTTCACCTGTTAAAAAAATTCTCAAGGTCCACGAAAATTTCTTCATTTCGAGAATCAACTTTTGGATGATAAACGAATTATTTGAATAAATAGATATTCTTTTTGCTTTTCATTGTTTTATAAAAATCGTTTTGAAAAATAAATAATAAATTTGAGTAAGAAATTTCCCAAGGAATGGATTTCAGTTGAAAAATCGAATTTCCAGTGTTTATAGTCTTAGAAATGTTCTTTCATACGAGAAAGAAAATGAAAAACGTAAAAAGAGTGGGGAAAGGTCATACACAAGGGAATAGCGTCACTTTACGTTGATATGACGTGTGAGTGAATCGCAGAACAACGAGAGGGTGAATCAGAGGAAAATCAATTGTCTGGGTTGTTGTGGACTTGGGCCAAGAGTTATCACTAGTTTTATTGAGAATGAGAAACTTATTTAGCTCACCGGGTATCTGGCAATTAACAGCGATGTCGATGACCTGGTGAATCGTCTGGAGAGGTGGATTTCCATCCAGAATTATGAGTTGTGCCTCCTCGAGGCTCGATCGATTCTCCTCCACGAGGGATACGTCGATTGAATCAAAAATATCCATTTCACCTACGGCAAATCGACATTCACCCGCACTGTCTACAACTGCTGTGTACCTGGAGGGCATACAAATCGAAATTATATCACTCAACTAGAAAAACTAGAGTAATTACATTTTTTATGATTTTCCTAATTCATTAAATGAGTGAATTAATTTTTTATGGCAATTGAAATTTCAAATAATTGAATATTCGAAACTATTCTTATCAAAAGTTATTACATTGTGCGTTGAAATGGAATAACTGGAGCTTCAGTAAAGATCGGATTAGAAAGAAAAAGCACTTATCCTAGTTAACCACTTGGCAACGCAATTTACGACTTGAAATTCTCAATTTACGGTTGTACTTAATATTTTTCCTTTCCTGTGTGACTCGATTTTTATAGCTTCTGTTGAATGGCAGCGATAACATCGAAGCGGAAGTAATGACTGGGGGTGGGATCAATGAACAATTATCGAGGGATTTGTCGTTCTATCAAGTTATTAAAATATGATGCCGATTTTATCTGGCCCCCGGAGAATCGCATGCCATCAAATTTCCTCCTGATCAATTTCAGACGTGCACAGGAAGGACTAGATATAAATTCCCTCTATTTTATTTCAATTATTCTTTAAACCTTTCTGTAATTAATTCTCTTTAAATTCTTCTTAAAGTTTCTGTAATTGAAATTGACGATTCCAGTTTATGAGTGAAGTAGGATTTTTTTAGTGGGAAACTTTAAGTACTTCATGAATTTTTTAAGAGATTTTACCCTGCAGTAGTTTGTCCCTGCAATGTCTTGACTGTGGATCCAGCTGCTTGGAGCTCTAGGATGATTCCTCTTCCTGCGTCATCATCGCCAACAGTGGACAACAACTTGGTTCCTTCCACTCCAAGTGCATCAAGAGCTGCTGCTATGTTCCTTCCAACTCCTCCGTTGGTCTTCCGGCTTTTTCCCTTGTGTGTTCTACCATCGAACTAAGAGGGTACATAAACAAACCGGAAACTTAAATAAAACAAGTCGCTGAATCACGGAACAATAAACTCCAGGCAATTGTACCTGAGAGGGTATTGCAGCTGGAAGTGTCTTGGGTTTTATTTTTTATTGAGAACTGAGAGGTACGTATGAATAAATTATTCATATTTTTATATCGAGATTTTCCGTGAAACTTTGAATTGTTTTTATTTTATTCTTTTTCTCTCGGTGCATGTCGGGTTTATTATCGAAATTCAATTGAATTTTACGGTTCCTTTTTTTGCGTGGGAGATTTTTCTCGAGCGATTGTGTCATTATTTCCTGTTCGATTTCGGACGAGTTGAAAATAGATTCTGCATAAAAGTTGTGCTATGGAATCGACTGATTTCATTTCGATTTAGGTAAAATATCTCCGGAGGGAAATATTTATAATGAAACATAAAAATCGTTCAGATTTTCTTTAATTTCCCTCTACAAACCGAGCATTATCGACTTAATATATTAAATAAATAAATAATAATTTCTCAATAAATGAATTCTCTCCTCGATCTATCGAAACGATTTTCCCTGAAATTTCCTGAATGCCCACGACTTCTGGAAATAACCGAATTAATAAAAAAAATTATGAACTAAATAGAAAATGACCTTTTTTCTCAGCGGAGGTGATTGTCCGTCTCTAAATTTAAATTCCCCCTTAATTCACCCCCGGCGATTACCCCCGATCGATACCCCTTAAATACAAAATCCCCCACCCGTCGATCTATCGAAGTAGATTTCGCAACAGTTTTTCCTCATCGAAAAAGCCAAAACCTAGGGAGCATTACACCGAAACAAGTGCGCAAACTCGAAATAAAACCGTCCACCCCCCAGCCACCCACCACCCACCCACCGGGATACCTCCCCTCATCTGAGAATTCCCTTCCACAGTTGACCATCGGCTTTTAGTCGGGGCTTGACAGTCGCTCCTCTCCCCTTAAAATTATCAATTCCTGACATTAATTCCATCATCCATTGATCATCAACCCACCGATCAATGAGTGATAAATAAATAAAAACAAGTGACAATGGTGTAGAATAATCATGGGGAATGGAAAATTCAAATGAAAATTCACCGCCATCTTCCAGCTGACGGAGGACTCGTCTTCCCGATGAATTCCCGTGAATTCTCGTGAATTCTCTTGAGTTGTTAATAGCGAGATGAATTCTCCGGTGCTCGCGAAAAATTAATTAAGCGAGGGAGTAAACTCGTGTTGAGGGGATAATTGAATTTTTTTTTTTTTTCTTCATGAGTGACTCTGGATGGGGTTGAGAGGGATGTACTTGCATGAGTGCTTGGGGGGTACATCCACCCCCTCATTAACTGGAGAATGTGGAGTATACGGTGTGTGATGGGGGATGTAACGGGGCAATTGTGTGAGTTTATTTGTCATTACTCTTGTGGTATTGTGCAATGCCCGGTCATGGACAAACGGTGATTGATCCACGGAAAATAATAATAATCGATAGGGGGTGGGGGATCAATCGATTGGAGATAAATTGACCATTTTTTATTTATTTATTTTTTTTAATCTGTGATGGACGGCCGCCGAGGTCTCGATCAACCTGCAGGCCATCATGAGAACCGGAAGTGACAGGTGATTACATTTTTTATTAATTATATGAGTAATTACAAAATCATTTGATTTTTCTGTTCGAGGGGTGAAGGGTTTCGGTTAACAACAGTTTTGGGAAACATCGATTTATCTCGGTACGTGTTGGTTTTGTGAGGAAATTACTGAAGGGCTTTTTTGTGGGGAATTTAATGAGCTATGGAAAAGGTCTTGTTGGATTTTCACCAGGAGTCGATGGTTTTCGAGATAAATTGAGAATTATTATTGTTGTTTTTGGGTCCTGGTGGTAATGACGATTGGAGTGAATGTGGGACAATCGTGAAAAGTATTAGGTTTACGAGAAAATGGGAGAGGAATTTTTCGTGGGAAATTTAATCAGCTACAAAAAAGGTATTCTGATGTTTTCCCGTGAAATCGATGGTTTTCGAGATAAATCGATAATTAAACTGAATTGTCAATTCTACTTCTCCTTTTGCCCTTCACTTCGCTCTAATTTATCATTTAATTAAGTTTTATTACTAGTATTTGATTGTTTCACCAGTATTTTTTAATCTAGGGAATCATTGAGGCGAGAAATATTGTAGAATCGATTTCCACCGCTTTACCTCTTGGCGGCTGAATTTTTCTGTTATTAAAAACTGAAAATTCATTATCACTTGATCTGAAATACCATCGGCTATCAGGTACCCCCCCACGACACCAATTACCCCCACCCTTGAGGGCAAAATCAATGGGTTTATCTAGATAATACTTTCAGAGCAAAACGAGAACAAAACGTGCACCCAGTGCACAATGCTTTATTTTTTTGAATTTTTTTTATCACTCCATCTCTTTGTAATCCCTTCCCAGTGCTCCAGATGGAGGACTCACCCACAGTAAAACACAAACGTAAATTACAGTCATCTAATCATAATTTAATGATTATATAATCAGAGAGAAATGGTCAGTAAAAATTACAGTCGAAGAAAATGATCTGTCATCAATTAAAAAATTCGCGAAATCTCTCGATTACTTTTTTTCATGAGCTCACACTGAGAGAGAAAACTTTCTCAACAGGACGATTCCTCCCATAAAATCGTAATTACCGTTATATTGATGAATTAATTAATTATGAGAATCCTACTCTCACCTGATGACTCATAATCTCCAACCGAGAAATTCGCATTTCGATTGTACGACGGAGACTCATTGCCAATTCAATTAAATTGAAGATTGATCTTAATTATTGTTATCAGGATTATCAATAGATTATATAATCAAAGACAAGAAAGTCCTAATGACAAGAAAATTCTAGATTTAACTCGAACAACAGGAATCGATGGGGTGGATATAATTTTTAGGATTGAGAAAATATGAAAATTATAAAATCTCTCAGAAAATTTCATTCTGTTGAAAAAAAAAATTGTTTTCTCTCAGTGCGAGAGCGGAATGATTTATCAGGAGAGTTAACGACTTGAAGAATTGACGAGAGAATATTTTCTTATTGGGCACATCGTCTTTGGCGGATATATTTTTTTTCCTGGAGTGTGAGGGGTAGACTGGAATTGAGACGTATATCCCAGTAGGAAGAGAAGAGGTCAAAGGGTGTATTGCATAACCAGTGGAGCATCGAAATTAAGGGGAGATGGTTGTTGTGGTTGTATGATTGATTGCCAGGGATTGGCTGAGTGAAATTCGATGAGGTGGTGGGCATTTTCGAGATATTTTTTGAGAGCCTCAGATGAGAGAGGAATCAGGCCAGCCAGATCATTCGTTTGGAAGGGAAAATACCGGGCAACCTATCATTTATCTCTTCCTAAATGCGAATTGTCCATTGAAAAAAAGAGAGAATAAAAAATAAAGAGTCCAACTTCATAAATTTTTTAACTTCAACTCAATAAACCCAAATGTTCGAATAATTCCCCGAATATCTTGGAATTGAGTGAATTCACAAAATTTTTCATAGATGTCTTTTTTGCAGCTCTCATTTTTCCCTCAAAAAAACATATCCACAAAGATATCGCTATCTGTCTCCAATTCCGAGATATTATTAAAAAACTGGAGATAATGGAGATATCCCAGAGATATCTCATTGTTAAACAACTAAAATAATTAATTAATTAATTCCCCGTTGCGCTTGATACTTGGAAAAATGGCAAAATGGCAAAATGGCAAAGACAAGGGATTTCCTGGAGCAAGGAGTAGTCAATAGCTCCTCATCTTGAAAAGTAATAGTCCATCCCCGTAAATAAAATTGAAAAGAGAATTTTAAAAAATGTCAAGAGTTCGTGATAATTTTTTCTTTCACCTTCAGCTTGGGCGGCATCCAGTGCCAGAGTATTTGTCACGTTTATTTGCAATTCAATCTCAGGATAATAATTGTATGCACAGTGTTTTTAATGGTGACAAGTGCACAAAGGGCGTATTGAAGTCGGCAACATCTACCACTCGTCATATTGTTGAAATGAGAATAGGGGAAAATGCGGTGGAGAGAAATGTCGATGGGGGGCTGTTTGAGGGAAAGGGCAGTTATATATCTTCTCGAAGCAACTCCTGTAACCCTCCCACCCACCACCCATTCTCGACGGATCGATGATACAATCCACTGTAGCCCTCTCTACAAATGGCAATCACCACCGCATTTCTCCTAGGGATCTGCAAAGGATTCTATGACCCCCGTATCATCATTGCAATCTCTTATAATTTATTGATAAATTATTATTAATAAATTGAAGCGATTCCTTTATGTACGTATTGTTTATTCACGGGAAAATTCTGAAACGCATTTTTATCGACATCAGTTTTTACCCGATATCTCGGGATTGGACGGAGATAGCGATATTTTTGTGGATATACTTTTTATGGGGAAAAGTGAGAGCTGCAAAAATGGTATTCATGGTAATGTCGCTATTTTCATTCTATTCGGAGATATTCGGTTCTGAATGAAATAAAAAAAGATATCTGGTGGAAATTCATGGAATGAGCGGATTTTTCATAGTTTATTTGTTTAATTGCTGAAGGAGATGTTTGTTAAACGTTGAAGTGGAAGGTACTGGTAAAGTTAACATTGAAGTAATAGCGCAATTAAATGAAATAGGTTGATTGAGTGTGGGAGGATTTTTCTCTGATTCCGAGGTAAATATTTTCAAAGAGAGTAAAAGGCGTTTCACTCACGAGATCTCATGCCCATTCAATCTAGTGACTTCTCCCGAAAATAATAAATCTCCCCCCAAGGGGGTGGTAAATTACAACGAATGATATATATCGTAGATTTTATCAGGGGAGATTTCGTGCGGTGGAATTAAGTAATTTGCGGGGAGAATTGATTGCTGAGGATAATGAGATAATCCTGAATTGTGGGTTTTATCGATTTGAGAATTTACATTTGACTGGAGGAAATTTCGGATTCAATCCGATAAAAGTATTTCGAGAATGCGACATTGACAATCACTCAGAGAATGAAAATTCCTGCAAAATGAATTCATGGAAAAATCATTAGGTAATTCCTGTCGATTTTTAAAAAGAGGATTCACCATTTTTCTGCACACACTAGTAATTCCCCAATGAAATTAATGCGTCTCTATGGATTAACCGAAGGAATGGATGAGCTGTCACTATTTATGAAGGAGTTACGTCTTTTGTATTAAGGGGCGGGAAGATAATGGAGGACAAACATTGACCAATTGGATAATTTGCGGTAGTTTTCGATGGAAATGTCAGGGAACGAGGGGAAAGATTTTTGTCAGTGATTTGCGGGATAATTGGGGTAATAGAGGGTAATGAGGGTAATGAGGGCTTGTTGGGGTGGACTAATTTGCTTTATTCGGTTTATGTACGTTGTAAATGTCTGATATAATATCGGAGAGTCTTCAGGGGAACTAATGCCTCAATTTTCCCCTTTGTTTTCTCTACCTGTCAAATCCAAATGATATATTCCCATTTTTCATTTTTTTCTGTAATTTCCCGGCTAAATAATTATTTTTAGATAATATTAATCATCAATATAACATAAGTCATATACAAATAAACTAATAATTATAATATCAATGATTTTTTAATAATAATTATTTAACTGGGGAATTGATTGAGTGTAATTAAATAATTGTTATTGTATGAAAATTTTATTTCAACCGAGAATCGAACCCTAATCCACCGCGTGGTAGACTCAAATCATAACAGCTGAGCCACTGCCTTCACAATTGTTATTGTATAAAAAAAATCTGAAATGAGAAATTAATTTGTAATTGAGATTTTGGTTTTATTGAGATGCCGAATTTTTCAGGGAATAGTCAATTCATTTGAATCCTAGGGACGGATTAACTCCCCCATCGAGAGAGAAGTCTAATTAAAAGTTTGTTAATTTCACCCAGGAAGTTACTCCATTAAGACTTCTTTTTCTCAAGCCCCTGTAATTTAAAGTGCTGAAAAATTGCCGCAGCCTTTCAAGAATTAGTTCCATCAATAACACAAAGTCCACTCCGAAGCCTCTCAAGAAAATTGATTTAATAAACCGCAACCCTCGAGACTGGATAAGAATAAACTTCACATATCGAATCATGTACGGCCACTTGCATTTAGAGAATTGCCCCCACACACAGAGAAAAAAATATTCATCGCTCCCAACTAATTGTAGCGAAAAAATAAAAAGAAAAAGTTCTTTTTCTTTGAATTCCCTAGGGATAAGATCGACGATAAAAATGGGATTCCCCCAATTTCCTGAGCGATCACTCACCCCCTCTTAAACCAGTTCATACACCTCAATTAACCCGAAAAAGCTCTGCCCATAATTAACGAGACCCCGAGTGACCCGAAAAACTCACGATAACTTTCCGTTTCCAGTGAGAAATGGCATCCGGATACCAAGGAGTCGAGGTTTCGGCTCGCGTGACATCGCCGACGGCTCAGAAAGCCCCGAAAATATCAAAAATAATGACAACAGGATCAATCGAGAATTAAGAGGAAGAAGAAAATAAATCACTTCCAACAATCACAATTAGATGATAAAACGATCCATCAAATCCCCGATATCCACCCCGCGATCCCGAGCAAAACGTCAAAAGCACCAGAGCACCAACAAACAACCAACCCTCTAGTATGACGGTGATGCTGCTGCAACGTTTTGCCGCGCCGCAATCGAAGAAATCACTCCACAACTCATGCGACTACGAAATAAGTAATTACCAACAATTGGGAAAACAATTGGGCAATCAACTGGGCAATCAATTGGCCAATCAATTGACTCTGGTAATCGAGAGAAAATCAAGTGATCACATTATAAAGGACAGTGTCGAAACAATAATCGACAATTGCTACTGCAACAACAACAATAAAACAAACAAGAGCAGTTACACCGAGAAAGAGAAGATAGCAAACGCAACGAATACGTGCAAGAACGAGCAATTCCGTACCAGTGGCTGCTGTCACAGTCAGGCATTGTCAAATATCAATAACAACAGCACCGAGGCTACGGAGAGTGACGAATTACTGGGAAGAAATAGAAATCCTGGTAGACAAGAGACTATAACATCACGTACAACAGCAGCTACAACGAGTACAGCGTGTACTCAATTGACATCGGCGTCACAAAGCCGATACTGTAGCCAAGGTGTCGTGATGCGATATTATCGATTATGGATATACGCCTGTAACATAGTACTGCTTGGAAGTGCACTTGGTTTTGCCGTTGTTGTATCACGTACACTCCTCTTCTCCAGCGATCCACGACGTTTTTTGGTACCAGGTGTACCAAGAGCATGGGATCCAACAGCCCTCTATGCATATCTAGCACTGGCAACCCAACTTGGTCTTGTTCAGTTGCTTGGTTGTATAGCAGCTAGACGTCTCAGTGCTAAACTCCTCAATGCCTACTGGATTCTACTGCTAGCACTTCTATTTGGTGATGCAATTATTGGAGTCGCTTGGGTATTCAAGTTTGAGAGGATGAGGGCCGAGTTGAGACCTGTGCTAAGATTAAAATTACAGTTGGATTATGGTAGGGATGGAAGATTCAGTGATAACTGGGACACATTGCAGAGGGATTTTGGCTGCTGTGGTGTTACTGGACCCAGTGATTTTGACAGTAGATTTATACCTGACAGTTGCTGTGGTCCAGCTGTGTTGAGTAGTGCTAGTGTTGTTGGTGGTAATGACAATGATACTGTTGGCTGTTATCAGCCATTTGCCAATGGTTGTGAGGAGTATCTCATGCAGTGGTTGAGAAAGACAGCTGATCTTCTGTTTGTCCTTGGATTTTGTGTTATAGCATTCGCTAAGTTGTGCTTCCTCGGTATACTGAGGTATGAGATTAGGGAGATGATACAGAAAATTCGTCTGCTCAGGGAACCACCGCCAATGGCATCAGCCGCTTTTATTCAGTCGTTCTGTCAGCCACCAGCTATGACAACTGCCGTTACAACAACAACAAGTGGCTCATCTTGCACTGCAACAGCTACCTTAGCTGGTGGTGATCCTGCTAAGGGAATGATTAACTACGTTGGACCTAGACGTACGACACTGCCCATTGTCGTTTCATCATCAGCTGTCAATAATAATCCATCGAGTTTTGGTAGGGCTAATCATCATCCGGTTACGTCGTCATCATGCTGCACAGCTTATTCAAGCACTAAACTCAGCACACCGCAGATCATTCATCGACACAGTAACAACAAATCACTGGCACTGGCTTAAGAATATGTTCACCCTGATTACATTGTCAGCATCAATTGTTGACTGCTGTTCTTATTGAGTTTAATACACAGATTTTAGATTTTTTCCGGTTAGTTCACCCTTCCTTTTCCTGCATGTCTCTTTATTCCGATTGAGGTTGTCGCTTTATTTTTCTCTTCGGCTTACTCGAGGGGAGACTACACTCCCTTTTTTATTTGTTACTTTGGTCAATGGATTTTGGTGACTCACGCGTCAATTTGGGCTTGACAGTTTGACACTTTGGAGTTTTGAGAATTGGCACAATCAAGTGGTGACTTTCCTTTTTTCTATGTACTTGACGGAAGTGGAAGTGGTGGGATTTTTGGGGGAAATCCGTTGGGGGAAAGCACGAGGAGTCGGTGAGGGATTTTACCCTTGGGGTTGTATTAAATGTCTTTACGGAAATTCCGATGGTTATATTGATCTATCGCGTGACAGGTGTTTAAATAATTCTTGTTTTTATCGTGCTAATGCTTGTTATCGGGGAATTCATGAACTCCTGGTGAATCGCGTGAGTCACTAATCCCTTTTCTAGATGTTCTGAAGTAATTTCAGTATTTTCAGGTCGTACAGCACTGAATTCATTTGCTCAATGCATCACAGAGTTATTAAAAGTTGAGGGAAATCACTGTTTCGTATATTGTTGGAGCAACGACTCACGGGGGAGTAAAGTCATGTTAACTGTTCATTCAAATTCTATTGTCTGGCTTATTGTACTTCAGATAGAGTCTGTTGAGAATTAGATTAATAGCGAATTCTTAATTGCTCCTTTCGCTGGTATTGGCTTGAATGGGGAAATAGCAGAGGTAATCCTCGGGGAAATAATACGAGAATTAAAAGAACGTTTGGGGGAATGGGTAATTAGTATTTGCAGGTATTGTGGATTTTTCCGAGGGCAAATTTGAGGTAATGGATGAATTTACTCTTTGATCTCTCAATCCTTTCTTCAATTCGTTAGTCTTTTTTGGGGAAATTTTTTTTTTCATTGGAGATCCTCAATTAGTTCTGCATGATAATTAGATTGTTAGGTCTTTGTCGGGATTTTTGGCTGAAACTGCAGGAATTTCCTGTAGGATTTTTAGATTAACGCTTATCAAACTTTTTAAAGAACGATCTACAGATTGAAATTACTCTTTTTCATTAATTTACCAATCGACTCTGGGTTATCAATAAATTAATAAAAATCTTATCAATTGACAAAATCGTAAAATCTCATTTTTTCTAGAAACGATTTAGCTAGAAATTTCCGATTATAAAAATCATGAATAATAATAATTACTATCATGACAATTATTATATTCTCGTCTTGGGTGCATCATCTCCTGCAGGAAATTCTAGGGGCAATCCCATGGGGCAGACACATCCTGACCACATAATTTTAGAATTTTGAGTAAAAAATAAAGTGTGAGATTTTATTGCAGGCAACAATGTTCCCCTCCTTCCACAGCAGTTGGATCAGGACTACGGTGTTAAGCATCCCCTGTTATTCAGTAGTAATCTCCAACAGGACACTGGTGCTGACAGCGATACTAATAGTCACTGTGCCCTTATCCTGGAGGAGACAACACCAACATCGACAGCCCATCGCAATTGCAATGCATCCAAGGAGAAGAGCAATGGTAACAATAATTACGAGATGAGGGAGTTTAATCGTCGTTATTTAATGTCAAATGGTGGTAGCCCACCAACGGGAATAACTATTGTTGGACAAAATAGAAGGACCTGACTATGGAAGTGGTGGCGACAAACGTCGAATCGTTTTTTATACAGAAATAATAGACCAGTCGAGCTTGATGCATTCTACAAGTAGCCTGTTCTCGTTTAGCTCGATTTAATATTGTTGTTGAATTTTTAGTTGACTTTTTTTTTTCTTTTCTATTCAATCCGGGAGAATTAATTTCCAGGACTTTCATCCATTTAATCCCAGAATAATTATATAATACAGTGTCTCGTTAATTAATCCTCCCAGTCATCGATCATCACGTAAATTTAAAATATATCTGGAGGGTTCAGAGGGTCGTGTGATTAAGACGGAAATGTGTCGGATTTTTTTCGTGAATATTAGAACGGGAAATAAATTATTTACTCTCTCCTGTCCGATCTCGTCGATGTGTACACAGAGAAAAAGAGTTTTTCATTTAATATCTGTGAAACTCGGGGAGATTTCGGTTTTTTTGTAGAAACCTTTTTTGTAGCTCAAGTTTCGCTCTATAAAATAAGTTATTATGAAAATTTCGGTATCTGGATTGGGTTTCGAGATATTCTCTGAATACTCGACCAGGGAACGAGGTGATTATTTTTTACTGATCTCCATTACGTTTTCCAGGAATATCTCTGAGTCTGAGAAAGATGCGAAAATTTTTGTTATATCCTTTTTTCTAGATCTCAATTAGCCCCACAGGAAAGGTCATTATAAAAATTTCGATATCTCTTTTAATTTCGGAGATATCCCCGAAAAATCACCGAAAGAGCGAATTCGACTCGATTGAAAGAATTGATTTTTCTCTGTGCCCCCGAAATCCTTAATTACATCAATCAATACTACAATAATTATTAAGAATCTGATGTTACTGCCAGTACTCGATGAAAAAAAAACCTGCATAAACGACCAAGAAATGAAATTAAAACCCGAGGTACACAGGAAAAGAGGGAACAAATGTGGAATTGTAAAGATTTAGAAATGAATTTGAAGGTAAACGTTACGATCTTTGAGAATTAACGTAATTACCCTCGTCCGAATTAACTTAGCATACAAATTGCAATACATAAATACATACGAGTGAGAAAAAAATAAATAAGAGAGAGATTCTGGGGAGGAGAGGGTGCACCAGTTGTGTGCAATTACTGTCGAGAATAAAACGCCTGGCTGTCATTGAAATGTCGACACTGTACATACGACTTTCATACATACTCAATACTCTCACATCCACTGAGATATTTATATCTTTTTTAATTTTTTTTTTACCGTCGGTTTTGGTCGGAGGGTAAAGCGTAACAAAAGTCAAGAGGAGTGGAACTCAACAGCAATTGTTACTTTTTTATTTCAGTTTTTGATGGACCTTTTTTTTCTAGACCAATTGAAATTTATATCTGAAGATTAGATGAAAATTTTTTATTGACACCAACGAAATCTCGGTACTGGAATTTTTAGAATGAATTTTCTCCTGTACGTGGGACAATTCACTGACGAATTAATAAAGTTGGTTGATTTTTCCGGGAATATCTCCGAAACTAAGAGAGATGGTGAAATATTTATTGAATACTTTTTGGAGATTTCGATGAGCTCTGCAAAAAAGGTCGTAATGAAAAATTCGATATCTCCCTTGGATTTCGAGATTTTTATCAAAATCGGTGAAGAATCAAAAGCGACTTTAACCGATTTTTTGATTCTCTTCTGAGTTAATGAATTATTAATGAGATTTGAGTCAATTAAAATTGGTTGATGAGAAAATGCACTTATTAATTTACCACTCCTAATTTAAATAAATAAATAAATTGTTTATTGAAATAAACAGAAAAATCTGATGTGGATATGATTTTGTGGAATCGTTAAAGGTTTCTCTTCCATTCGTCATTCTCTAATTATTTTCTCTGGGGCATGACCGTTTTATTTTCGTCAATGTATGCATCATTACTTCGTAATTACTATCCAACTGACACGCAAACCCTCTGGGGACATAATTAACCCGAAACTGAGGGAGAAATAACCGATTGAAAGAAAAATATCATGAACCTCTCGTAGATTATCGACTTCTCGTGGCTCAAAGACAGTAATCAATATATTCACAAATAAAATGACGAGATTGTCGAACAATAAATCACTGGAGAAACGCACAAAATGCGTCTGAAGAAAATTATCAGAAATTTCACGGAATTCGTTAAAACAGTAGCAAAAAGGGAGAGTAATATTATCAGAAAATTATTCTCACAATCTCGAAGTGAAACAACTTTTTTTAACAATTACCTAACGACTTATTTACGTGAAATTTATCTACATTTTCTCCCTGAAAAATCAGGCGATGCCTTGAATATTCATGAGATTATAATTGTCCGGCCCTTGGGACGTGGAAAAATATTTTAAATAGTCCATTGAAAATTTTTCCTCTTTGCTACTGAAATATTGATAAAAATCTCAAGTTTCGAACGAGGAAACAATCACTCAAAAGAAATTAACAAAAATAAACTCATTAATTAGCATCTCCATTCGTTATTTCGATAGGAAGAATTCATCTCCGATATCCAAATTTGTAACAATTATTGTTTTTGGTATTCCTTTCTCAGCGTAAATAATCTAAGAAATTTCCAAAAAAAAGAAAAAAATGACAAATATAAACACCACTAGGACAAACGAATTCCGCAGAATAGAGACCAACTCCGATACGTAATGGGAATGAATTCGAGGCTTTAAAGATAACGAGGAAATTAGGATGTTTGTAATTTAAATGATAGTTGTCATAATAAGTGCGTAATGTGAATTACTAATGAAGATGGGTATGAGGAAATTGAATTAATAATAACTGATGAATTGAACGATCGGTGTAAACACGAGTGCAATGAGTCATTAAATGAGGGATGATGGGAGCTTTGAATAGTGCCTGCTTTAAAGATGAAAATAATATATATAAAAAGTTAAATTTAAATACGAGAAAGGGATAAAGGAAATTGATAATGAAGGGGTGAAATGAAAGATTCATTTTAATATTCCACCGATTTTTGGAGTCTGAGAGTTCAAGAGAGATTAAATAATCATTTATTTTTATTAAATTAACTTGAATAAAATTTAATGAAACGATTTGTTCGAATAATTTGGTTTTTTTAATTAAAAAATCATTGGATGTAGAATTTTTGTTTAAAAACAATTGATTTGGGACTCATTGTTAGGAGAGTTTGTTTTTTTATTGCAAATCTGGGAAATCTCTATTGAATATTTGGATATCGAACTGAAATCATTCCACCACTTCGTTGAAATGAAATCTATAAAAATCTGTTAAACGTAAAAATAAAATTGAAATTACAAGCTAGTTCTCACAGTGGTACCTAGACGAGCCGAAACCAAAGGAAAAATAAGCAAGTGACATTAATGGACACAAAGTTTCATGTGTATTTCATTGTGAGAATGATTGTT